GAGAGAGAGAGAGGAGGAGGGATAGATGAGGAAGGGTTGAGGAAGGAGGAGAGGAGCAAGTTTATGAGACTACGGCACTGGCACCTCGAGATGGGAATATGTTTCACAATCTCAATCTCAATCTCAATCACTCAAACGATCTTTCAATTCTAACCATTTCGAACCAACCATGAATATTAGTTAGTATTAGTATTGTCGATACCAATTGCGCTGCGCTCTGCTATAAAATACATAAAGCGAAACTCGCTACTCGCAAATCGCAATACGAGATATTCGCTGACATCTAGTCGAAATAATCCACCAGAATAAAATACAAAAATACCAAATGATAACAGGGATGATAAGATCCAATGCCAACTTTATCATTAACACCATTCATCATCATTTGTTATATCATGACCTTCGTCTCCTTCAGTCACAACCCCCCTTCCCCTCCCCGCCCCTTTATTATTCGACTCGAGGTTAAATTTCGTTGCTAGTGTGGCTGTTGACTGATTCCTCGCTTCGCTTCCCATCAAATTCAACGAACGTCATCTCAGTGCCCTGATCTTCTATCTTCCCGCTTCTTTATCTCTGACTTCTTTCCTTCGCGCGGTTCATGTTTTTGTTTTCCAAATGTTGTTTAACCCCCCCCTCATCTCTTGTCTAGCTCCCAAAATCCGTGGAATCATAATCAACACACTCATCATCCCCTAAGGCTATCGACAAAGTTCGTCAAATTGGCATCGAGGTTGCGGACAAAGATGGCTACGCAATGGAAGCTTTCCCTTTTCCTTTTTCCCGACACTGTGTGAATCGACCATTACCAGCATAATTATCCTCTTTGTAACCACCACGAGCATGACCACGATGGCGTTCATTTGTGGTCGTAGGACCTGAAGTCCGTCGTGTAGTACCCAGGTTCGCAGTTTTCGATGCAATCACAGCACAGCTTCAGTATCTTGTGGGCTAGGAGCCAGATCGAGTGAAAGAAGTGGCCATATTCTCTTGCCAAACATAGGGTTACGCGGGGCTGTAGGCAATGTCGATTTTGATTCAGGAAGACCTGGTCCAAGCCTTAGTTCAGCATTTGGAGCTGCATTTCTCATCGTGTATTGAGTAACACGCAAGTCCATTTTTTTGACCAAGAGCCTGGTAAGCAGCTGCAAGATTCTCTTTGACTTTATCAAACGTTTGCTTTGATATCCTTCTTTTCTTCAACTTCTTGGATCTCTTTCAAACAAAGAACAGTGGAAGCCTCGACAGCTCGACAAGCCCATGGTGGAACACTTGGTTCTGCGATAGATATTGGATTACCTCTCCGCTTTACTGTCACTTTGCGCTTTCGTACAATCCTCTCGGGCTCAGCATCCTTTTGTGTTTCAGCTCCTTATATCTCTTTCGAAGACGATCCCTCGGGAATCCTAAAATTATGAATAGTCTCTGGTGCAAGAGCTGGCGCAGCTTCTAGACCGGCGAGGAGGAGGCTAGGGATGATTTGCCCTATCCACTTTCGCTCCTCTGTTTTGTCTTTTCAGAAGCTTGATTGGTATTCCATTCCCCAGATCCATTTATAACAACGGGACCTGTGAGAGATGATCTCCTATCTCGATTTTCGCTCCACTGTTCTGCTCTTTCAGTAAATGGATCGGTATTCCCAGACCTGTTTATAACAACGGGACTTGTGCTGGGAGCTACCAGTAAGGAAGAAGCTGGAGATGGTTTCCTCTCTTGCCTTTTGCTCTCCTGTTGTGTTCTTTCGGTAAATGGATCTAGACTCCAAGATCTATTTATAGCAGCGGGATTTCTGCTGAGAGTTACCGGCAAGGGGCGTTGGGATGATTGTTGGCGGATATCATGCGAGTTAGATGGAAGGTATTGAAGTGAGTAGCGGGGTGATCGTTGAGGTGGAGTTTGAGGTGAGTATTGACGGATAGCATGCGAGACAGATGATTGGTATTGGGGTGAATATTGAATTGGAAACTGTTGCGCGTGATATTGCGTTGGAAACATACCAGGATTGGCATATGCGTTTGGGTACTGAATGGGGGATCTTTCAGGCTGTACCCAGTTTGGAGCTGCTCCCCTCATCAGCATATCTCTCACTCCATGCTCGAAATCACTTCTCTGTTCCAACCCCCTTCCCAATGTCCGAGTCGGTATATACACATCAGCACTCGGAAGCAGATTAGACGTAGGCGATGCCGTAGTCGGACATGAAGTTTTCACTGTCTGTTCCGATGCCGCTTCTATTGCATCATGAACTTCCCTTCCTCCCGTGCATACTTTACTCTTCCCAGAATTTCCCTGTTCCGGATTCTTATTCTCATCTTGAAATTTTGAATCCTTGCCAGGATTTGCGTTTGCGTTGATATCTGGAGCCCAAGGACCTTCTGGACAATCGAGTGTATGATGTCCTACTTTGTTGCAACTGAAGCAAATAATCTCGTCCTCATATCTCTTCGGCTCGGCCACATTTGCTTCTTGATCTTTTCTTGTTTGGTGTGTACCAGCGTTGTCGAGGGCCCTTTCTACAGTATGTTCTTGACTCTCGTGTGTGTAGTAGGTATATGGTGTCTCGTATGTTTTTATCAAATCCTCACGACCCTCTTGGTCTTCTATTTGCCTGTCATCGACGCAAGGCATTGCTTCATGTCCCATCTTACTGCATTTGAAGCAAAAGGGCTTGACGTATGTGCTTCCATCACCTCTATTATCTTCGTTGCTCAAATAAAATTGTACCGAGCTCTCATCTGAAGAGCTATATCCCTCCGCTCGATCACTACTTGTTCCCCAGTTCATTATTTCCGTAAAATCACTAGTATCTAAAAAAGAACCGAGTTCGAACTTGTCGGGGGGTGTTAGCGGTGACAGATCTGCTGAAAACGCGGATTTATTGTCGAAATCATCATCACTTAATAAGAAATTATCAGGGTGTGGAAGTTCGAATGTGTTTGCGTGAATGATATCTGTTCCAGGGGCTGAGGCGGGCGACATTGGAATAGACTGTATTTGTGATGAAACCTGCGGTGAGCGGGTCGGATCGTGAGTTTCAGCGTTTTCAGGGATCGGGGTGAGAGAATTCGGATTAGACTGTGTTTGCTGGGGAATAGAAGGTTCTTCACTGATAGGAACTTGGGTGACACTTTTGAGACTGTCAGTTCTGGAACCTAAACTCGATTGCGATGCTGTTGAAGAAACGCGTCGGTTTCTAGATCGTTTCGTCATTCTGGGTTGGTTTTGCTGCAAATTCCTTGGCCCCGAAGTTGATTGATGACGGATGACATTGTTAAGAACCGCAACTTCTAGATTAGATTTTGGTGGCGATGAAACTTTCGATGTATTGTGTGGGACTTCCAAGTCAGCGAGAGTTGAATCAGAATCATATTCCCGTGATACAGGAGGTTCTTGATTATATGACTCCTCTTGATTACTATCGAGCACCGCAACTATAGATCGACGACGTGAAGCTGCAGGCATCCGCGAAACCTTATCCTTCACAGTTTGAGAGTGCGAAAAGAGTCCCATTGGCTGTGGCCCAGAGGATCCAGTGCTTGGCGGATCTGGAGTCATAGTTGCAAGATTGCTAGCTTCTGGAAGAGTGAACGAACTAGTTATAATTGCATGGCGTGGCGAAGAGCTGTTAGTATCAGCAGCTCTTGGAACAGTGCTTTGGGATCCTGTAACGTTGGGAGATCTTAATGAAGGCTGCGATTTTTCATTCGAAGTACACTGAGACCCTTTTCTCCATGAGCTCACGTGTTCCCAGCCTTCTTGCTGCGGGTCAAGTTGCTCCAAGTCAGAATCTTTCGAAAAGCTTAATAAAAGTTGTCCCAATTGATGCTGTGAGAGGAGACGAGGTCTCTTGTATCGCGGTTCCGCCGTTGAAAGAGTAGCTGCATCTTGATCAATTTTGATAGCACTAGAACAACTTGGTTGGGGGCTGAAGGAGGACCTCCAATTCTTGCTTCCAACATGAGAGGGATGCAAATTAATTGAACCCCGAGATGTATCTTTGCTTTCGATAAAAGTAGATTGCAACTCTCTTGACTCCGAAGACTTAGAGGCAGTTGCGTTTTGGTTGATTTTCTCCAAGCTGGCAGCTTTTTTAGCGTAGCTCGGATATGGCCCCAATTCGAAACTTGTAACAGAAGGTTGCATTATATTTAGTGCTGGGAACACATCTTGACGTTTGTCAACAGTGTCTTGGGAGTCCTTTGGCTTCAAGCATTTAGAGGTAGTTGCAATTTGGTTGATTTTCTCCAAGCTGGAAGCTTTTTCGGCGTAGCTTAAAGATAGCCCACTTTCATTGCTTGCAACAGAAGAAAGTTGCATCTGATTTGATGTCGGAAACGTAGATACAGCTACATCTCGGACGATAGGCTTAGAGCTGGATTCTTTGGTGGAGGGGCTCAAGGACGGCCACGGTTGCTCTTCTGAAGATATGTTACCGCTTTTGCGACATTTGTTCGGAGAATTCGGCTTGGGTAGTATTTGCGCAACTATCCTGGCATAGGAGGTTGCTAAAACGGGGTCTTTAGATGGAACATCTTCTGAATGACTAGCCAACGGCGTCGGGAGCTCGGTTGAAGACGAGGGTGGGGTAGATGATTTCACATTGGTGGAAGTTGAGGATTCTCCTGTCACAGGTACAGACTTATTCATTGGCTGTTGTACTCCTCTAGCTAAGATAGATACGGAAGGATGGTTCTCCAAATTCGGTCCTGTGGTTGGACCAATATTTGGTTCGAGGGATACTGGGGGCTGGCAAGAGATACTTGTTAAAGCTGCCAGCTCTGCCTCTATATCCCCTTTCCTCGCAATCCGCTGAAGCTGTTGGTTGGATACCATCTCTCCCTTTGCCTCCCAGCTTTTAATTTGTTCGAGTTTTCTTGACAATTTCAAAATCTTGTTCTCTATTGCCTTTTGATCCTTTGATTTCGCAATATCCCACTGTGGAATCGCATGTAGTTGCCTTGGTTTGCTTAGGGATACATCTGAATTGCTAGATAGGGGTTTGGCTTTAATTGGGCCGCTTGATGGAGCGCCTCTAGTGGAGGGTTTACTGTTTGCATCATTTCCTAGGGGCATTGAATTTTGCGGGATATCATTCTGAACATAGGAAGCAGAATTTGTTCGGCAGTGGCTTGTAGCAACCAAGTTCTCATAGCGACGGTACCTAACTTCTGTGAATCCGTCGGGGATGTTGTTGTTGTTGTCAAAAGTTGGTGTGTTGTTCGAAAAAGGAGGTTGATTTGGTGTTGATTCGAAATGCTGAAACGATTCTGGAGACGATCCACAATGCATAGAACGCAATGGTAGATATGAGGAGTCGCGAATCATCATGTTAGATGGGCTCGATCTTTTGACTGCCCTAAGGTGTGCTTTGGGAGATGCATTAAACCGGCTGTGATACACCCTTTGATCCTCGTGCCACTGGGCCTCCATATCCCTATTGTTGGCCATAAAGTCAATTTCGAGACTATTCAAGTTCTCTCCTCTTGCTTGCTTCCTCCCCAAACGTTCGATTTCTCGGACTTTTAGACTTCTGTTTCTAATTTTCACTTTGAGTACTTGCTCTTCATCCGTCCAGGCCGTATTTTCCAATTCTTTATTCTTCGAAAAATGATCATGACTTGGACCTAATTCCGGAGGCTGTTTCGTTACATTTGCGTCATTCGTATTGATGTATGGTTCGCGGGATGGTAAGGACTCATAATAAGCATTTATATGTTCTTCGAATTCCGTCTCCCTCGCTCCCTTCCTCGTAATCATCTCCATCTCGGGGAGGGTTAACTGTTGGCCTCTTGCTTGCCACATCTCCAATAATACAATCTCTTCAAGGCATATGGCTAAATGAAAAATCTTTTCCCTAATCGTTCTCATCCGTTTTGAAATTACCTTGCTCGAATTTAGGACTACATCGAACTTGTGACCTAATATATTTGACTTTTGGTCCAAGCTGCGGTGAGAACGTATCCATTGATAACCGCTATATGACTCACTGGGTTCTGGATATGCTTGAGAGGGGATTGTCTCCGGATTATACCACGCCGGATCACGAGTCCCACACTCTGACCTCCCTCTTTCATCATAAGAGATCATGAATTTACCTGCTTGTTTTAAAGAGAACTCACATGTCCATGGGCGTTCTGGCTTCGTCCAGAATCCATCAACATTACGGAAATCCTGTGCCCAACGAATTGGGGGACAATTGAATCTGTTCTAGCCACAGAAGTTAGCCATATATTAGTTATGTGGTCAAATGTTGACAATGTATACCACGAGCAAAAAAGAACGACTTATAGGCTTGTAATTCCCAGGCTTGAAGCAGTGCTCATATAAATGCGTCTTGGTATTGCAAAGCGGACAACCTGAGATGAACCCAAATTTATCCACAGGAGCCACGCAAGTTTTCAACAGGTGACCTTTCATATAGCAGTTTCCGCAAAGCATTTGAGCTCTGGCGTCATGATTTCCATTGTTGATATGCGGAGTACCTAACAACGGGGCTTTCTTGGCACTGGTAACCTCACAAGACTCATTCAAGATATCCTCGTCAGCACCATCGTCAAGGTCGTAAAATTGCGATGTTGCTTTAACCGGAGGCAGTTTGGAATTAGATGGTGTGATAGTATGCAATTGTTCAATTGGTTGTTTGACTGGAGAAGGTAGTCGGGCCATGCTTCGTTGAGGTAATTGTGATTCAGTCGACGAGGGCTGTGGAGGAGCTAGTGTAATCACGTTTTGTGACGATGGATGCTTTTTTGTTCGCAAGGACTGTGCAACATTAACTTGACTCGAAGTAGCACCTAAAGCCGCAAGGCCGTCAGAAGTCGTTGCAGTAGCCAAAGAACTTCGGGGTTGTCTTGGGCGAGGAATAATAGGAATCTTTTCGACATTTATTGAAGCATCATGAGACAAAGGGGGTCCAGATGGAGGCGGTGACTTCTCCAGTGACCTTGTGACATTATCCTGAACTTTGTACTCAGTGATTGGCGCTATGAGCCCTTCTACGGATATGCCCGCTAGAAAAGTTTCGTTGGGCCCTATAACAGAATTAGTGTGTAGCGCACATTTATGTAAGTCGTTTCAACCAACAGAAGTGTTTCCATGTCTCGACTTGGGCTCTGATTTGTCGTTCAGATTCAGGGAGATTCGATACATCGCTTTCGAGATAGTCAATGGTGGATTCATACTGGGCAAAGAAGACACTGTATCTCATTCCTTCCAAATGTGCTTTGCGGCCCATTGCCTCAAGTTGGCCCAGATGGCCATAGTCTGACATATTTATGATTAGTGAGTCAAAAATGTACCTTTGAAGAATGATTTTGATATTAGATAGAGATATTGGCGTGGAATGATATATGTCCGACTAGGATGTGGGATTTAGGAGAGAGTTTCCGGTATTGAATTGTTTTTTGTCTGTAACAGTCGTTGGTGGTTCGCCCTTACTATGTACATCAAAGGACTTTTAGCAAGTACGAACATCTCCTTTCCACTCTTGCTGCAAAATATCTAACATAGCTGTTGGAGATGAGATGACTTTCAAACCTTTGAATTATCATCAACTTCTCAACATCGGTTATAGTCAACATTCATTATATCATTTCGATAGTAACACCCGCTTAACTCTGACTCTTCTTTGCGTACTTACATTTCTAAAACCTCAGTACTGTGATATTACCCTGCACAACATTTCTCGTCCAATATTCTTGGACAGTTACCAGATCATGGAGAAAGCATTTAGCAAATGGTTCAAGTGCAACGAATATTCGAACGATTCGACATTTCTTGAGCATTTCAACCGACTTCAAGAAGCCGAGGAGGGTCTTAATACCCAAGTTTTATACTCCACGCATGACAATCAGTCTCAAGATGAGCAAACACAACCGCAGTGCGAGATTTTATCCCAGACACTCCAAGAAGTCCAACCGCAGTCAATCCAACTTCAGAATCCTGTGCAGCACGGTGGATATCATGCTTCTCACGGCTCATATCAATTGAGAGATAGGAAAAACATGCAGCAAACATACGAGGGGATAGATATAATGGCGGCCGAAAATTCCTTGAATGGTACAACCATCGCAGGTCTAAATGTGGAGACGTCACCCTTCGCTGAACCTCTCATATCCATCAAGAAGAAGAGGAATAAGTTTTATCAATGTCCGTGCAATTCATATAGAGCGGCGCATCCACCACATCCGATGGATTGTGGAAACTTAGAGTACGCTCTTACAGGAAAGACAGATAACCTACTTGAAACGCTCCCTGACGAGGCACACTGTGTCGATATTCGAAAACGTCTCGAACGTCCACAGTTCAAAAAGGTAAAGCAGAATTGCCTTATTGTAGGATGGATCAAGAAAGCCTCCAAGGACCATTCGTCGAGCTACGATTATGTTCGGTCTACCCGGAAATGGGATAAATCACTAGATGATGTCAACGATGATCTGCTTCATGCCCCATCGCTCTATGAAGATGTATCCTTAGATGCAGGTAAATGTGATTCCGAAGCTTTACTTGAACCACCTGAACTCGACTTGGACAATCACAGCTTGTCAGATGACATCAACAACCTCAACTTCGGCCTGATTTCCACCATCTGGGATATTGAAGTAGACACCTCAAAGACAAATTCAGGAATTCTAGAATCATCCGAATCCGACCCCGGCTATAGTAGCCCGGGTTCAGCAGACTCTATTGGAAATGGTACTAGTTTTTCTCTTGACCGTCCTAAACCGAGACGACAGTCTATGTTCAGCGGCTCAAATTGTACAGACGAGGGTTGCTGTACAGGTTCATACAGTGACCTTGATCTCGATGGTGGTCGACAGGCGTATTTGCGATCACGACGCAACGATTTGTCGGGCATACAAGAAGAAGAAGAAGAACCGCGTGACTCAGAGGAGAGTACCGGTAGTCTTGAGGCTGATGCACCGTCAGACCACTGTGATATTGGCGACTACTGTGACAACAACCTTCAACACAACGACTCTGATTTTGCACTCTCGTATTGTGAGAAGGACGACAGCTCGGACGATGGACTGAAACTCGTTGACCCGCGCTATGCTCTCCTAGCTCCCTCTGGTACCAGAAGGCCATCAATAGATTTGGCCAAAGATAAAGAGGAGCTTTCGGCACCTGCTTTGATCGAAATATTGATTCAAGTAGCGAGAAAACAAAAAGAGGATTTGGGCAAGATTGATGGGCATATTCAATCGTAGGCGTGCAGACTGAAGCGATAACGCCAAATTCTACAAGAGTGATTGTAGTAGCACAGGAACAGCGCCAGGCGACACTGGAGTGAAGAGGAAAAATATCTTCGGGGCATTCAGAAAACATTCTAGAAGAAAAAATTGCAGAGCGTAAAAGGAGGGGGGAGAAGGGAGCAGATCATGATAGCAGATCATTACACAAAAGCTTTGCGAGGCAGTGGAATTAGGATTGTATGTATCGGTCTTTTTAGCGATAACAAAGATAAAGACAGCGTTGTATGAAAACTTTGATGAAATATTATTATGACTTGTTGTGAAGTTGATAAATGGTCAGAGAAAACCCGGAACGGAACAAAGTTTTTACTGAGAAACCTCGGCATTGAAAATATGTTGAATCTCTGGAATTACTCCCTTCCCATAGCACTAATATCCTTGATTGCATCCAACTCTCCTAAAACTACCTCATATTTCTGTTTGATCAATTTCCAGGCCGTCGGACCTAAAGGAAGTCGAAGCGGCACTTTCTCACCACGACTAGCAATCGTGTACCGTATTAACTGGTTAGGACGGTAATATTTATCTGTTTATTCAATTGGATAACAGCGTATGGTTCTATGTTATCAAAAAAGTTTTTAAACCTCTATAATATAATAATGGTATAATGGTCACGGTATATATAGTGATAATAAAAAAGTCACGTTATATAGAATAAACCTGCCCGCCTATTCTTTGAATTCCCAGTATCCGAATTATGATTTCGAATAGTGTTTTGTCGATTGAATTGGCACCATCGCTGAATAACCTCTCATAACTGTTCTGGGTCCTTTTGGGCACATTTCGTCTTATATCGAAGGGAAACCTGGTATTGTCGAAGGAATACTGAAAACCAGCAATTTAAAAACTTGAATTCGAGATAGATCCATTTGCCAGTAGCTCTTTTGGTATACATAACTTTCGAAGGATAAAGGTCCTGGTAGATCTCTTTCGCATAGCGAGTAAATCAGTGATATATGATACGTTTCCTAATGATTCTGTGGAAACAGAACTTATTATAGAATCTTTGTTCTATGACTGGGTGAATACATCGGTGTATATTAGAAGTCTTATAGGAGCCTTTTGGAGAGCTTACAATCAATTATTCTTTAAAAAGCCAGGTACTGAAAAGAATAGAAATAATTCCAAGAGTTTTTGCAGTGTAGTACACAGTAATTAGCTTTGAGTTATCGATTTTGGTTTTTCTCCATGTATATCGATAGTACTGAATAGCTTTAAGCTTGAGTTCACGGGGGTAGGAAGAATGTCTCGAATGATTGCTTTAAAAATCACTTTCTTGATGGCGATAATGATGGAATGCTTTAATTAGAGCTTGTTTATTGACACTATCGACCCAATTTCGTCGTTGTCCATCGATAAGAGGGGAAAATTGGATATTACTGATATTGGCTTTTGTACTGGGACGATTTCGAGGAATAGGAATACTGTCTAGTAACATGGTTTGCCCTTTTTCGGATACTAATAGCAAAGGATAGCGAGTTCGTGGTTTACGGGGGTATTTGCAACGATTGGCATCATAGGTATCAAAACATTGTTGCTCTAAAGAGAGTTGAGAAAAAGAGGGTTGGG